GAAAACATATAAAATTATCATCATAACTATCTAACGACTCAAATCGTTAAGAACTTAAGATGACATTTCCATTCCGCCAAATATATTAAAAAAGCCAGTCACCCTAAACGATGTGATTTCTTTCCTCTATGATTTTGACATTAGCAATCGTTACAACAATTGTGCATGTTGTTGTCGTTGGTTGAAATTGAACCATCCATTAGGTTTAGGTTTATCATCACATGTGTGTTTCATATCATTTGGTCAATTGTATGCTTGGCATATCAACCCTAGCGTACTATGCCTACACTTTTCACTAAAACCAAACAGGCCGTCGCTTTTAATTATTAACTTTTCTTTAATTAGGTCAGTACTCCCACCTATGATTGATTGATCATCTTCTGTGACGCATTTGTCGATAATGAATCTTATACCACTCAGTAACACTCAATGCAGTCAAAATCGCGCTTTAAAACTTAAAAACTTACAATTTTACGCTTTTGTGTCACCAAAACGCTTTCGTTTCCATATAAAAACTTAAGTGTATAAAATCGGACTAATTGTGCTTTAAAACTTAAAAACTTACGGTTTTACGGTTCTAGTTCACCAAAACGCTTTACGTTTTTACGCTTTTAGTTCGCTACATGAGTATTCTTTTCATGAAATTAATTATAAAAAGTATATTTTTAAAGTAAATCACTAACAATATGATACATTTGAGATTAAAAGATACATACTAGGTACTTGGATGCATTCTACTTCAATAGAGTAATCTAATTCACCAACTAGGGTTTTCCCAAATTCATTAGCATAGAGGGAAAAGTGGCTTATCGTTAAAATTTATGTTTACGAACTTATTATTAAGATGCTATAAGTTGCTCTACTTTAAACATGAATCACATGTATTTATTAACTTATCTAAATTCTGTGCATTCATATTTTGCATAGCATATGTCCTACTTAATAGATTTTTAGTTATCTTTCACATGGGGGCAAGTGATTCTACGTTTTACGATTTTACCCCTTTTCCGCTTCTAGGTAGAATCGCGCTTTTGACTGCATTGGTAACACTATTTCATTGTTTGTTACGTAACGAACAAAAAGTGGAAGCATGCATCAAATTTTTTTTATAATGGCGATAAACTAATATTACGAAACAAAACAGAATTGTACAGATAAAACAGAGCATGCATCAATATTAAATGTGTAATTGGGTTGAGCATAATTAATAAGATAGTTTATATTATTTGTTTATGTGTATAACCATATGAACTCAAATAGATTCATTTGGGTCTGACTCAAATGAGTTGACCAAATTGGAGCCGATTCAAAATGAGCTCAAACCCAAAATTATTAAAAGTGCATATAAGTACATTCGGATTCGATCCAATAAAGTCGTAGGTAACAATTGGATCAAATTAGCTACTCAAGGCGACTCATTATCGAGTTTTTTTTATCGGAAGGCGACTCATTATCATTTAATCCTAACTTTATGTCATTATATAATTGAATTAATGTATTTAGTAACTAAAAACGCTTTTATTCGCAATATTTGAGAAAAATGGAAAACTACAAGGAAGACACACACGTGGGGGAATTTAATGCCAATTTTAATTATGTGGTACATCCCTCCCACGTGAGGGCGTCCATACGACGTCGCTTTCGACATTTAACTTCAATTGGTATTTATTTGGTACGTAGTGCACTCTAAGCTAATGTATCAATCAACGGTTTAAAACTTTGAAGTTGGGGAATGTATACTGTAAACCCTAATTGGCTAATTTATATGTCCACTTTGTTAATTAATGTATCTCACATCCCAAACTAACACGTTGACTGATTTTGCACACATCCTAGTCATGATATGGTTGGTTGCCAACTGCTCGTGTTCATATATATCTACCGCTTAACTTCATAAGTTGCATATATATATACCATTTGAGATCTGTTGATCATAAGAATTTTCGGATTTTGTTGATTTTGATTTTATACGTAGTGAATTTTCAAATGAGTCAAATTGTTTCTAGGAGCTCTAGTCTTTGTTGCAGAGATCGATGGAGCTACGTGTAGTCCATAATAGGTTACATGCTCGCTTCGTTCAATATTTGATATGAGCATTGGTGGATCCACGTTGTTGGTGGTCGTGGGCATCCATATATTCCATTCAAAAAAACGGAATTAACATCAAACCAAAGACCTGTAGGAGCGGTAAAAGAAAATTTCATACCCTATACCTCATTCTCCCGTTGTAAGAGAATTTATCATGGAGGCACACCGACAATTTAAACAATTTTTGGAGCCCGTTGAATTATATTTCTGACTATGCCAATAAATGTAACCAATGTGTGGAACGTAGGTGGTGGGGATTTCCAGAGGCCAAATTTATGCAACGTATGTTCCCTTCCATTGCTACAACCAAATCTCGATCGGGGGCTACAGAATTAACCTTTTGGGAAAACGAAAAAAAATGATTAATTTCATCGATGAGAATGTTGGTAGCACAGTCGTGGCAGCTTGTTGTTGGACAATGGAATAACACTAATCAAATCGTAATTAATTATGTTCTGTTGTTTACTAATCAAAATGGTCATTTACGAATAATTAAAGTTACTATCTAGATATGTTTATTATCCCCATGAGATTAATGCACATCGTTTTCCCCAAATTCTAGGTAAATAATTAAGTTACTATCTAGATATGTTTATTTTCCTCATGAGATTAAAGTTCCAATTGACCAATTCCTTACATTTTTTTTTTCTGAACCAACGGCCGGCATATATTCTTTTGTTATTACACTTCTTTCTATATACTCCGCCAAATTCATTCATGTGCATCCCCCCATTTTCAATGGCTTGCTTAAAGAAAAGAATCAAAGGCCAATTCCCTTCTAGAGACCCTAGACTCTAATCAATTGATTGATTAGTTTCTTTTCCCTTTCAATTTGGTCCACAAAAGAAAGAAAACCAAAGAAGGCATTTTGGGTAAGCCAAGGTTTTTTTCACAATTACCAAATCATCAAGAAATAATTGTGTGTAGATGTCTGATTGGGTCTAGAATTCGGGATCAAGAGAAGAAAGGAGACTCCACTTACGCAGACATAGTTGTTTCGCCGATAGATTCAAGGGATCGAGAAGTAACGTGTGACGCACAGGCGGGAGAGTTCTTAGCCAATACAAAACCTTCATTTCCCAATGGTCTAACACGACCGGTTTTGTTGTTAATCTTTTTCATTCTAACTGCAAACTCTTTCACCAGCACATCAGGATGTTTTGGACTGTAGCTTCTTGGCTATATATGATGAATGAAACGAATGGTGTAAAATTGAATATGATGCGATATCATACTGATCATCGATTCGGTTTGGTATGGACCGAACCCATTGCAAGCTCCCCAATAAAGATTCCCATCCCTACTTTCTACCACTTAGTTGGTTGTTGAAAATGGAGGTCGTTGATGTTAATATCTAACCCAACAATTGGCCATCATTTTCAATAAGAGGAAGAAAAAAATGTAGAAGGGAACAATTTTGACCAAACTCACGACAACAATTCATTAAAATAAATATAATTAGTAATTGAATAGTGTGAAAGAATAGTTTCATTTCCATCCAACGTACTATATAAAGGGGTAGGGTTAGGATTGTGGGCGCATCAAAAAGCCAATAATAAAGGGGGAAAGCTTAGGTTAATTATTTAGCCACTTTATTGGCCCTTTTCCTTCTTTATTTGACCTTTTTTCTTCCCCCTCTCTCTTTTTGTTTCAACCTTTTTCATGGGAAAAATCATTAGTTAATGTGTTATAGTCTTATAGATTGAATGATTGTGAGCACATATACAAGTTCCAACATAGTAGGTTAAAAAAATAATTATTTGCATGAATGGAAGGATAAATCTAACAACAAATTTGTCAAATTTAGAATTTATAAATCGTAGCGCACTTGTAAATAAAGTAAATATAGTTATAAAGAAAACATATATATAGATTCAGACTATTGTTGGTCTTGTGAATTTCGCGTATATCATACGTGTAGTGAACGGTATTATATATATAATGAATTAACCCAAATTCGGTATATTGCATTATCCTTAAAATTTAATGGCTAGACTTTATATCCCAATTCATTGAAATACATCTAACAATTCGTTCACTAAAACGAAGCATATATGGTTGTATAACCCATTTAAAAGTATGAAGTATGATTTCTTACTAAACCTTTTGTTGATAAAATAATAAGAGGAGCCTCCACCACACTCGCACTAATGATAGAAAAGCAAATATGCTCCTAAAGGATGCGTTTTCCTTAACATATCACTTTTTTAACTCATTTATTTGTTTTATTATATGATGTACTTATTAATTATGATATTATTCATGGCTTCAACAATCGTTGTTATAACCTATCTCCCTTTTCCTCTCTCAATATTTAAAGTCTAAAATGATCCCATCAAAAATATTTTAAAGTCTACAATAAGCTCATCGATCACTCATATTACCGATGACATGATTTGCTCAACTATTGACATATACTTAGATTGGAGGTAACTTATATCATTATGATATATATTGGAGTTATTCGAGCAGTTAGGTAATTTCATATGTAAATAGTGACGACGAAGCCCGAAGGGACTAACAATAACAAAATTACAACAATTTTACAAGATTGAACCTAGATCTTGGAGTATGGGGGCTAATAGCACTCATCATGTGATTTGCAATGTTTTATATTATAGTCCCATAGCAAATATTGAGAAGAGATGAAAGTTCTCATGGACTCCGCGACGCTTCACGAGATTCAAAAAGATCATTTCATAGACGTGTCCACAACATTGTAGACTGAACATAAGATAATTTTTACAAACTTTGACCGTTTAACCCACTATCCACGTACTATATATATGATTGAGGAACTTTGCATAAAGTGAAACCAAAACACTCTATTTTTTGTCGGTAGGTAATATATTAAAGTAGTAAGAATGATGAGCTGAGAAATCGATGAAATTGAAACCGAGCACCTCAAAGTCATCGTCATGCCGCTCATACCACTAAACCAATAATCCTTTGGTTGAGGGAAAAACACACACATTCATATGATGGAACATATATATATGACATCTAACATAATCAAATAACTACCTTTCATACTAAAACAAATATCCTAGATACATAAGTGTACAAACTAAAACATGGACAATAGCAAATACTTGCACCAATCTACAAGAACAATAAAATCCAACACTAATAACAAACAAAAACAAAGAACTACATAGAATAGAAACCCCCTAAAACAAGGATTGCAACACAAAAGAAAACAACCAAAAAAAAACCCCTTAATTTACTCCTCCTCCATTTAATCACTTTCTGTCTTCATATACATCATTTTGCACCCATTTCGTCGCCTTCTAGTACCCCTATAATAATCTTCTCTTGTCTTTTTTTCCTTCTTTTGAGGCCTTGTTTCACTCCTCCATGCCTGCCCTTTGCTTCTTTGCCCTCTTTTCCTGCTTAATTTCAGAAACCCTTTTAGCTAGAAACGATGGAGAAACCAAAACTTTTGGCATCTAATGGCTGCATGATCCTCATATCGTGGGGAGGACGGCCCGTCTCTTGAAAAATCTTCGGTAAATTCTATAATCATCTTTTGAAACGTCTTCTTTCTCTCATCGAGTCCTCATTTCAGCAACCGTCGCATTACCACTAACACAGTTAACCAACTAGCTAAGGTGCACGACCGAAATTTCACAACCCGAGAAGAATGTAGTAAACAAGTGTAATCGGCAATGCTATCAACATTCCAAAGATAACCCTGCAAGATATATATGGATAGTAAGATTATAGTTAAGTCAAAGGACTAATTAATCAACTTAATTGGAAGGGTTTTGATTAGCTTACGCAGTGCTGAGAATTGCAGGGTGGACGTTGTACTCCTTGGCGAAGACGAATGGTACAATCCCTTGTGGCAAGGCAGCCTGAAAATTTCATTGCCATAATATATAAAATTATTGTAAACAAATATTGCCCTAATAACAATTATGTCATATGAGTTAAAAGAACCCTAATTACTATCAATTACTAATTATTTATTAAATCACCATGCGTTTGATTCGAGGAAAGACTAGCTCGTACGAAGTAACTCTAGACTCTTGAATTAACCAGCCTGATTAGCATGCTCAAGCCGCTTGATGTCAAACGATACAATCAAATTCCAAATCAAATCTTCATGAAATGGTTTAACATTATCCTAAAAAAGAATGTGTCGTTCTTCGTGTCGAACTAATTACGACATACGTGGTCACTAAATTTCGAAGTCACTAACATAACGAATTTAAAAATAATTAACTTGCCATCCCAGCAACAATGATAATTGACATGAACCCTAACTATGTAGTTGACCACATCAATTTGCATATTATAAGTTCCAAGTAAGTTATGAATATAGTTCAAACAACACATTTGTAGATGGATAAGAAACCCAACAAGATACTCTTTGACCTACCTACAACCCCCAAAGACCAAATTCATGTTTTTATCAAAAGAGAATCCTAACTAACTAGAGAATTTGAGCAGCAAAATGAATCAAAGTCAGCCTTAATTAAGGAAAAATAGGATACCTGAACAATGGCAATATGGAGAAGGGTACCACGTAGTCCAACAGCAATGGAAGCTGCAGCCATCACAGCTGGACCTGTCAGGAACCTAACAGCCATGGCAAACGATGCCACTGAATTCCCACAAGCTATTATCTTGGGTTGCAGAGCCATGAACAACCCTACATACATGTTTCAAACCACACACAAAAACAAATGTTACTAGTAAAACAAGAAGGTCCGCGTCGAGAGAGCTGACTCGACGTTTGAATCAGATCATTCTAAGAATGGAAACAATCAAATTGAATCAAGAGTGTACATCAAATCGGTCTCGATTCTCAATGTGTCCTTCATTTCTTATGATCAGGTTACATATCAGCTTGGTATGATTTCAGACCGTACCGTACATAATGATTATACTCATTCAGACCTAGAACCATCAAACATCGAACTGAACTGGTGAGTGGTGATGTCTTTTGCTAAGTTTCTAGCTACTTGAAATATAACTATACAAGAGAGATAGTAATTCTATCAGACCGATTAATCAATGAAACAACAATAAAATTGTCTCGTCTCGTCGAATTAGAATTTCTGACTTTTTAAATTATGGAACCTAGCTAGACTTTGATATGAAGATTTTTATGTTTTTGTGTGATGATAAGATGATCTTATTCTACTTTGAATTGTATTTAAGTTAGGGATTCATCATAAATTGAAAAGAGAGGCAAAGCTAAAAGAAGGGATGCATCTCTATCATCACAACTAATACCCACCCACCCATGGACCCTCCTCAAAGTGAAGTCAGGCCCCATTTTGTCTGGTGGGTCAATTTCTATCTTTCCCCCTTATATTAAACCCAAAACAATATTAATTAATTAATTTTAGTAAGAAAAAAAAAAACTCTATTTTCTTTCATTTTGGCATCTCTATGTCCTTTTTTCTACCATAAATTAAACCAATAAAAGAAAACCTGAAAATGAAAGAAGAAAAGAAAAACACATCATGAAAATTGAACTTTTTTTTAATGGATGGTTGTGAGTTGTACAACCAGTGACACATAACCCCTTTCTAATCTTATTTTAATTTTTCCTCCACTTTTTATAAACAATATAACATCTGCCTCTCCAAATCTCACATCGTTAAACTTCTAGTGGATAGATATACATAGCTACGATAAAATTATCATCCTCCACTGATCTTTCAGGCGTATTGACATTATTTTCAACATTATCAATGTGTCCAATAGATGGATGAAATGGTATGAATTGTCCGAATTAGTACAAATATGAATATATACACTATAAGTATAGCATACGAAGTTACGAACCGAAACATCGTATGTAAGAATGACAGATTTGAGCCAACATCTCCAATGAAACTCATGGACCATTAGGTGGGAAAGAGTGCTTACCTAAGCTGAACATAGCCATTCCAAGCCCAGCATCGGACAGTATGGAGATCGACTTCTCTATTATTTTAGGCATTGCTACGTGCCAACTGCACCAAAATTCATTTTACCAGTTAAGGAAATGAAGTTCTTACAAAGAAACAGAGTTGCACGGTAACTGTTTGTGAAAATTACTGACCGAAAGGCGACGAGGGACCATGTGAGCCCAATGAGGCTGGAGTACGTGTTGGGGTTGCGGATCAGCTTCCGCCATACCATGATTAGAATCAGCCGCGTCATCACGCTCGCCGGCGGCATTTGCCTGTTCCTCCCCCCTCCGCCGACGTCTCCTTCCCCGGCCGCCGCAGCAGCGGCGGCTTTCGGGTCTATCTCCGTCGATCCCATCTTGTTCAGACCCATCAGCCCTTCTCCCACTTCCTTCTCCTTCTCGTCTTCCCCTTCTTTCGCCGCAAAGCTGAAATCCTCGCCGCCGGGGAACTCCCCTGCTTCAGGTAAAATCGGGTTAAACATAATGTTGGCCGGGAAATTGGGAATCAGATTAGTAATTAGAGGGAGAAAAAAAAAAAAACTAGAAAGTCGATACCTTTAGCTGTTTCTCCGTTTTGGGGATGATCGGCGACGAGCATCCTGATTTCCTTGGCGCCCTGATCGGACTCATTCGACCCGCCGAAAACGTGGAGTCCGCCGGCGCCGGCGCCACCTCCACCGCCGGCTTCCGACACCGGAGAATTACTCGAACTCCAGACGAACATATGAAGCTCCTTGGCGTCATGGTTCGATTTCCCGCTGCCACCATTGTTGCTACTCGGCTGCAATGTTGTCCCTGCTCCCGCCGGCGGCGGAGGATTGCTCTTCGCTCCCTTCGCCGGAGCTGCTGCCGCCGCGGCGGAAGAGAATTCCGGGTTCGGAGCAGGGTAGTACCCGAACCTCGGCGACACCCCGGCGGCCGTACCGGCGCAATTCTCCTCGAAATTCGACGGCCGGGGAGTCGGCCCGCGGGAGGACTGAACAGAGTACAAATCCGCCGCCCCGAAATTCGAGACCCTCGGGCCCTGCCCCGACCCGAACCCCTGGACCCCCATCATCGAGTAGAAATCCGCCGGATTGAAATTCGAACCCCGGGGAGTCGGATTCCTCGACGAGCTCAGGCTGTAGATCTCGGCGCCGGTCAAATTCGACGGACGAGGAGTCAACCCGGAAAACGACCCGACTCCTCCTCCGTTTCCGCCCAATCCCAACCCGGAAACCGACCGCCTCGAAACATTCGACTTCCTCACTTTAACGTGAAGCTTCCCGTCGTCCCCAATCTCAGCATCCGTCTCCAAGAACTCCCTCCCGTCAAGCGAAACGACGTCGGAGTCGACCTTAAACGACACGATCGACGCCGCCGTTTCGGGGAACTGCTCCATGATCAGAATCTTGGCTCCCCTGTACTCGAATAAGAACAAAAGCAGAGTGTACCAAATGATGCACTGCAAGACGACGACTTGGACCATCAAGCTGCCTGCGTACGGCCCGTACATGGCGATTAACAGAGGGATTCCCATCACCAGGGTATTTGGTAAAGTGGAGAGGGAGAAAATGGTAATCATCCACTCGAGGCTGCCGGATTTGGTGACGTTGGTCCAGATTCCGAGGGCGACGAGCATGATGATTTTTTGCAGGGTGTCGGCGGCGATGAACCGGAAGTTCATCGCGTAAGGGTCGTTGGTGGAGATGAAGTGGAAGGAGAGGAGTGGTACGGCGAAAATGGCGACGAAACGGTTGATCCCGGAGCACTGGTCCGGCGTGAAGATCTTCCACCACCGGACGGAGCCGTAGGCGAGGATCATGGCGACGTAGAGTGGGACCACCGCCGTCATCACGGTGTAGAGGTCCTTCCATGTAATCATGGCGGCGGTAGCAGCTTTCCGAGATGTGGGTTTTGTTTGGTATGGATTAAAGCTTGGAACTTTGGAGGGTTTTCAGAGCAAGAACAGGGGAGATGACATTGAAATGGAGGAGGAAGAAGAAGAAGAAGAAGAATTCCTCTTTTTTGGTTGATTTTGAGAAGTGGGTTTTCGAGGGGAGGGAAGAAAGATTGTAGCTTTGGAGGAATTTCAGAGGAGGGAGAAGGAGAGAGATGGCATTGAGATGGGAGAAGTTTTCTTCTTGAAGAAGAAGAGGAGGAGAAGCAAGGGAGTTAGTTACTTAACTACTTTCTTTTGGAGACTATGGAGGGAGTGTTTGGTGACTGATGATTTCTAGAGAGAGAGAGAGAGTTTGGGAGTTTGGGGAGAAGGGGAAGGAAAGGTAGGGAGTGACTTTTGGTTATATAGAGGGAGTGGTGGGGGGAAGATAGGGAATATGGGAATGGAGATGGGGGACATGAGCAAGTGTAGATGCATATGAATATGTGTGTTTTTGAGAGGAGAGAATAATTGAAGTGAGTGAGTTTATTATTATCATGGAGGAAAGGTGGGGAAAAGTTTGGAAGGAAAGGAAAGTAGTTTTTAGGAGGGGGAGGATGAGGGGACCAATATTGGTAGTAAGCAAGGAGCAATTATAATAGGGTGCCATCTATGATTTCTTGTGCTTTGAAATGTGGTGACTTAGAAACAAATTAGGGAAGGGGATGGTTGAATTTGTTTACTTCAAACAAAGATGTTCAAATATTTTAGTGCAAGCCAAGTCTAAGTTACTAGAGATGAAAGTTAGGATCAAAGGGTATCAATTGCAAGGGAAGTAGATGTTAGACTCGACTTAGTTACCTAATTAATCTTCTCGTTACGTATTTTGTGCGGGGATGTGACCGCAATATGATTGTTGTTATGAGGATTTGAGCTATAATTCTCATTAAAGATCACCTCTTTATGGTCAACGATTGTGTTCATTATCCAGATTAAGCACAAACATCAACCTGTTTGACCAGATAATTGTGACATTATCATCTCCATCAAGATTTACAATAATGGACAAAGATATTTCGTATATGAACGAAAGTCAAAGACCTAAACGCGAACCTACCAAGATAGTTTTAGGGTTCTAGTAACAAATTGCAGGCTCTAGCTTGCCTTTATTGGTTGAGCCTTCGTTGATTGATACCACCCGAGAAGACCACGATTGATCAAGTCGGACGACGGTTTCCCACGGAAGAGGGGAGGCGGAGAAGAAGAGAGAGGAGAGAGAGAGAGAGGAACCATGAAATTTTGTTTGTGATCTCCTAAGTCCTAAATCTACCCCACATACATGTAATACACAAGTAAATGGACTCTTAGTCATCTTAGCACATAAATTAGCTAGCTAAGCAAACATCATATGAATCCACATTAAAAAAAAATGAATCCTAGAGTTCATTCCTATAGATCAGTCTTGAGATGCAATTCTTGTTTACATGGCCCAAAATTATAGAAAGAAACCAGCTTTATGTATGTCTGTTTGGGTCAGGAGAAGGGCTTCTTCACCCATGTACATCTTCAAATGGGTATTTGGCTTTTGCAGACCTGACTCAACAAAGCTTGGACCCTAGACCTGTTCACAACCCTAGCTCAAAAACTATGTGCTGAAGAAAATAAAATAAAATATTCTGTGAATTTGATTCGGAAACAGTCTTGATGGTTTAACCATGCAACGTAGTACTTTTGCCATATTAATTTGACCAGACTAATCGGCCAATGGTTAAGAAATAAGAAGTCAATTTTCTCCCAATTTTAGTCCCCAGAAGTTCATATTTAAGAGAGAAGCGAATAAGAGGGTCAATGGACCTAATTTTCATGTAGCTAGTTCACTGGACATAGTTAGGTATGGATGGACATTGTGTGGGTTGGACGATTTTTCGGTGAAAGTTCGTTCGTTAATAATTGAGCGGTTTGAGTTAAATATGACTTGTAGCTACGCAAACACATAATATTGGATGACCTGATGTCATTTGTAGATAGATAAAGTGGTTTACATAAATTGTCATATGAACCGATCTTTGACGTGCATGATCGCGGTGCGTGGATAACTCTATCAGACTGTTATGAATCCACACCAACCTATCCGTTATTTTTCTAAATTATATGTATTGAACATCAAATATTGAGCCGATAGCAATAATAAACCGAATTCATATACTTTATCTAAATTCATCACAAATATCAAATTATACAAGCTTAAACGATGCATTCTCGGTACAAATTCCAACTACACTGCGAAGTGCAACAAAGCTAAAATTAGAAAAGAGCCACTAATTCATCACAAATATCAAGTGATACAAGCTAGCTAGATGCTTAGTCATATATGTTGTGTACCATTTTTGACTATGTTTTGATGTCATTTCTGAGTTGGAGGAAACTTAATCTCTACGTGTCAGGCGGTTGTTCTCGTGGAATATACGATACTCCTAGTGATCCTAATTTTTTTGAAAGGGGTTGTTCATTAAGAAAGCGAATGGGCCAAGCCCAAATGGAAAAGTACAAGCAGAAATACACAGTTGGATAAAAAAACAAAACAAAAAAGGTCCAAAGAGACAAGTGTGCCGGCACCCAATAGGGTCCAGACCCGGACCCAAACATGTGTGGCTCTCCTAACCCTAGCTGTGCATCTGCCTCCCTCAGCAACATCCACCGCCGCGGCCGAAAACAACCTCCGCGGAAAGACACCCAGCGACGCCGCCTGCACAAGTCGCCGCCGCCATATGCCTGAACAGGGAACCGCTTCCACCAAACTCGAAGAGGATTCTCTCACCATCCAACTCCAAACCAGTCGTCTCTGCCTCCTAGTTAGTGAGATATATCTATCCAGACTATAAACTATACTATGATACTATATATGTTCAAACTTTTAATGGATAAACCTGAAGTCTCGATGTTCTGAAGTCATACTCGAAGATCAATTTAATAAAAAACGATAATGGACAATTTTGATTTATCGAAATATAACGAAATAAGTACATCCAATAATCCAATCACTTGAAGTACCTTATCCTCAGATTATGTAAATATATGACTCCACGTACGTCATTGAAACAAAGCCCTACCATTAGATTAAGTAATAGAAGTCATGCTAAAACAGCCGTGCAGCACACAAATACTCGTTTTCAGCATTAATTATTAAGTGTTCTTTGTGTGATTTGATTTGACTTGCGACTTCGAGAAGCCTGATTGTAATTGGAGGGAGTTAATTAGTTGGTTTATTATTGGGTACTATAATATTTGTTTAACGAATCCTTTCAGACTGCTGGTTCTTGTTAATTAATTAACTTTTGTAAAATAATGTGATTAATTAATTTCATTTAGTAGTTGTTGAGTGTTTAGCTGCTGTTGTTGTTGGTGACGAAATGGCAACGAACCACTGTCTTTGCCGATTTCTCCATATTCTCGTTCGTTGAAACCACAAAAAGGATATATAATTGAAAAGCTGTCATTTTCAGTTAGGGAGGCTTACGTACGTGGAGAAAGGGTAGTTCATGTTTTGTTTTCAGGTTCCAGTTATATCTATCATAGCTTCATATATAATATTAATGTTCCCTTTGGATCCATATAGAAATGCATTATGTGGAAAAGATGTGCAAAGATAAACCCTTAACATGTTATACTATAATCAAAAGGAGACCAAGAGAGATTCCAGACTTCCTAGTGGCAAAAAAATAAAAAAACCAGTATCATTGCTACTGTAAGAATGACTAGCACAGCAAAACTTGGGGGAGTCCTGATCTACGAAACAATCAAACCTATCAGCATAAATTCAGAAAGGCAGTGGCTTTTTGCACCTCGAGATATCGGAGGAGGGCGGAGGCTGAAAGTGTCCAAGAGATGCTGCATCTGAACCTGAGACATCCAAATGTTACAGGAGGCTCTTTGAATCAATCTAAATTTGCAGTCCTCTTCCAGGATATGGCCATTTCCAGACACCCGAACGGTTTCAAAGAACCATCGTATGAGACTGAATGCAGGGACGTAATTGGTGCGAGAGCACATAAAGAAAATGACACTTTTCACAAATCCTGAACCTGCTAGGTAAAGAAGCACACGAAAACAGGACGCAGATTCTCAGGAGTACATGTGTCCGTGAGCAGAACTCTGAGCTCTTCATAAGACAACCCATCTTCTGAAATAGAAAAGGGAAGCCAAGCAAATCATGACTTCTGTCAGGACAAGACCAACCACGTCGAAGACAAATTTTGGAGCAAACAGCCCCCAGACCTGCAAACAATGATGCAGCAGCCAACGTCAACAAGGGAACACAGCAAGTGGTACAAAGGTTAAATACATCGATTCGATCATTTGGGGGCTAGCTAGTTTTGTGGATTACGAATTACCATGAGATGCCTCCTCTGGATAGTAACGCATAATATAGTGGCTGTCACTGTGGTTGCTGTGATGAGTCCATAAGCCATATACATCTGCCAATGAATCAGAAAAAAAGGTTGTAAAAACTAAATGACATGGATTTTACCAGAGATAACAAATCATAACAATACCGCACATTTAGGGCGTGCTTGTTTTCAGATAGGATAATAAACCTCACCTGAGACAACTGATTGAAAAGAACATTCTTCCCAGGGTTAGTTTGGTTGAGACCCAGAAGAAGAAATGGGAGCCCCATAACAGGAAGAATGAGGGAAAATCCAAATGTATCCAAAGTTAGAAGGATTGCTTGACGGACAAGTACAAACTCGTCAAATCTGTAACATAAAGAACAAAATTATCACAATGGTTTATCAGTAAACCGCTTGCTGGGAATTGAAGGAATACTTCTAAGCGTTCCATATGACTAACCCAATAAATGCAGCACCATAGCGAAGGCCATCAAAAGCACACCTGAGAAAAAATTCTCTTAGATATGCTTGCAGCATGAGGGTGTCATTTTGTAAATAACAATGTCGAATATGAAGTAAGCATTCTTACCAGTGCCCTGAGGCGAAAAACAGACATACTGCTAAAAGGTTCCATTGTGTCACAGCGAGAAGATTGAAGCTTGAGGTTCTAGCTTTCCCACCATTTGCATATTTTCCTGTATTCTGCAACCTTGTTATACAGTACCCTGCCAATATGCAAAGTTCTTTTTACGCAATAGGAGATGGGACATTTTGGGGATATAAATCTATTCCTCATTTCCTTTCAATCTAAATAAAATGAACCCAATATTTGAACACTTGTGAAGCACTAGAAACTAAGAGAGGATTTGCTATCAATAATTACATATAAAATTTGAAAGGTGAAGAATAGAACCTCCAACTATTGATGCCAACGCAATCCATGAACCTTGTTTCCCAGACAACAAAATAATCATTGGACTCCATGCAGACAACATGGATAATGTCTTAATCATCAGGCTATTTTTATGATCTGCAACTTTGTCTTCATTAAAAAGCATGCCAAATGCCAGAAACAGAAGTTGGGAACAGCCAAGGGCATATATTGCTTGAGGGATGTAGTTCCTCCCAATTCCTTCAAACAGAAGAGGCAAATTTTGTGTGTCGCTCTCGAGCACCCAGTGCAGCCCTATGAGAATATAGCTTGGAATTGTTAACATGATAATGTACTTCTGAATGCCTTGGAAGTTCCCAGTAATCACTTTGTAAACTATGCAAGACAGCACAACTAATACTAGGAGAGGCCCAACTTCAGCAGCATAACCCCACAAGGAATCGCCAAGAGCAATCCCAGTTATCCAAGAAGATGAAGCATGCATGAATGCTGAAGTGGCAGCCTGTTTTGACATCCCAATTTCAATTGTAAATCTGAGACCTAAGACCAATAGAAGGAATAAAATCGCCTGCAAAAGACATCGAACCACATATTCAGTTCATTGGAGCAAGGAGCAATTGCTTGGAAGACTGTATACGGAATTCCATGTAGATAAATATAAGGGGGAGCAGTACATACTTCAACTAACATCCCTTTTCTCATGATAGAATAACGTAATTTGACAATGCCAGTTGTGGCCAGCAAAAAACAAGCAACTTTCCCTTCTTCCACTGTTTCACAAGTTTTAAGCGAAACAAATATGAGTTGATGGGATCACAAGTAACAATAGCTCTGCAACCAAACCAAGTTTAAATCCCATCACTTACATATAAAACTGTTTGAAAGGAAGCTGCATGCACGTATTACCACCACAAGAAAGGCAAATATTGACTCAAAGCCTATTCCAGAGACTGTAGGCATACTCCATATAGCAAGACTTATTATCAACAGCGACAATATCATTGTCCCAAGACCAATGCCCATCATCTTCAAATTAAATTCAGTCCACTTGGAACGAGCTAGCTCTGAGACATGTGATAGGAAATCAAGATAAAGATTAACTTGCTTGGTAATCTGAGCCATTACTAAGCTACAGCTCTCAGTTTGGCATGTGAGTAAGTTTCTTATAGAATGGGACCAGTTCTCCTCCAACTCCGCATATTTGTTAGATATGTGAGCCAAGTCTTCAGATGAGAATCCAATGATTGATGAAGCTGAATAAACATCAATATATCTTTTGACCTACAAAGAAAATATGCATGTGGTTGATAGAGGGAAGGAGGTAAATAGTACAACGTGGTTCTCATAGCATGCCACTGTGAAATAACAAAAATTTACCTGCCAAGAATTCACGCAAAGTGTATTCACATAGTTCTTCATCCATTTTTCCATCTCTGACTGATGTTTCTGATTGGAAGTGTCAAGATCCCTCCAGTTCCATGTGCCAGCAGCTAAAGCATATAGCTCAGCGTTCACAGACCCAATGCTGGAAATAGCATCTCAATCTGATTAAGTAACAATCCCAATAGAGATTTACAATATTTTAAAGAGCAATAAGTCAATTTCTATAACTTCGGATCAAGTGCTTCTGTATACCCCATTTCCATTCACCTTTAGATCTCAGGAACTCAAATTGTTTGCAATGATTTCACATTTCCGTGCTTCACTTTTGAACTGTAAATGCATGTGGAATATGCATATAACCACTTAAAAAGATTATGCTAGAGAAATCTAAAAAGGTTCTGCTTTGTATCCTTCTCATTATAAATATATGTCTCATTCAAACTCTTGAAGAGGATAACAGACAAAAGGAAGTCAGATCATAGCATCTCCACATTCCAAGAGATTTCAGATAGTGCAACTGCTGAGGATACGTATGCAGTACCTTCCAAAAGGAAAGGGAATACCGAGCAATGCCGAGACAGTCGCTGCAAAGTCGAGCTGTATAAAGTCACAGATATAAGTAATTTTGATCAAGGCAAGCATAAAAAGATCCATTTATTTTACCTAAATAAGATTATGCTCACCTGCTGAATAGAGCTTACACACTTCTTCCCGTCCTGAAATTAACAGGCACAATTCATGTAAAAAGGTAAACAATCCGCACAGATTATGCTACTGGACAAAAAAATTGGACAAAGAAAGAATCAATAAAGATACATTTGCTAAGAGGAAATGGATACCGAATCTAATAGGCAAGATGAGGAATCAAATTCATGAGGGACCACAGAAGGAGGCTGCTTAAAACCCATTGCAAACAATGTTGTCTCAACCTGCATCACGATTCAAGTTTATGACATGATAGAAACCAGAGAAAACCGAAATCCAAGTACCGAAAAGCATAAACTATATACCTCTTCAGCACTCCCTCCTCCATGATCGCCATTTAGTGTTTGTCCATGGTCACCCATAACAAGCAGAATAGTATTTTCATGTAAGCCACCAGGTTCAGATTTTCTGACCAGCGTTTCAATTACTTTCTGAAGAAAACATGTGGCCAAATTATTGAGGCTACAATTCAATTGTTGTTAGATGATAGTCCCAACTCCCAAGAAGTTGCCCAGTTTACGCAAATGTCATGGTGGTGTTCGTAGCATGCATATACAACTATATAAAACAGCCCCCTCCAATTGAAACAGCCAAAATACAGCATGGTCTTTGAAAATTACCTCCAAAATCTGATTATATTGCTCCAATTTTCCTATCATTTGCGCTGAATCAACACCAAATATGTGACCAGCATGGTCCTGCATAAAATATCACAAAGGACCACGTTCAATATAAAAGGCACATAAGCTAGAGAACTGAAGTCTAAGAACACATCAGGTTCTAGGGAGGACGACAACATCAAGGGAAGAACACGGTAATACATTGTCACGCCTTGCAAATTGAATTTTTTTGTAAATTATTAGAATTTGTAAATGATTAGTCGATGATGGTTCTCAGTTGCAACTATGCTGTACGCGCAGCGATAGAATGAGTGATGTATTCTTACCACACCAAGAAAATGTGCAACAAGTACATCCCAGTCTTCTTGATATAAGGTTTCGAATATATGTGTGTTGCATCCATTGTCGACCTGGAGCATTGAATAATTTGAGCTATGTAAGTACTAAGTACCAAACAATGATTAGAAAACAGCTTGATGGAATCTACATTCATGCTGGGAAAGGAAGAAAATGGTGAAATGGCAATACCGTATCAAGATCTTTGACATTAAAAGATGGATAAGGATAAGATTTGTTAAAATGGTCTGGAAACAATTGAACCCATGTGTCGTCGCCCATCATCACCACACGCTTTCCATTTGATACCAACTGCACATTGAATCCAACATGAGAACTAGAGCACATCAAGAACCGTGGATTGATCACAGAGAACTAGAAAATGGGAGTTGTGCTTAAGGACCATTTGCAAATGAAATCACCCAAAAATTGAGCAAACCTGATGTATTAGGTTGTCTTCAACAATGGCTGGAGCACCAAAGCTATTTCCTACATCAACAAAAGTAGGCAGTCCACCAGTGGTCAAGCCCTGAAATATTGCAATATGCCAAACAGTGTATCTTGTTTGTGAAAGTCCCAATTATAAATGCCAGAAAGAGAACATCCTGGTTACAGCAGTAAGTAAATGCCCAAGGCTGAATGGTAAGAGTGCCAGGAAAAATAAATTTGAGTAAATGAATGACATCCAGAAAGGGATAACTTTAGACCTTCAAGCGCTGGAGACTAGTAGTTGGAGGATCTGCAATAGCCTTGAATATCTTGGTAGATGATCCCTGTGTGAAGGCCAGATTCTGTAACACCGGTAGTTTGTCCATCCATGGTTTTTTCTCTGAGCATTAAAATCCAGGTTACATCAGTTTTATATGAACTAATATATAACAAAGCTAAAAGGAAAATTTGGAAGCACAGTAACTAAATGAAATTGAGAACGATACATAAAAGCAATTTAGCATTTTGTCTAGGGTTTTAGTTGAACACAAAAATATGTACATTTCCAGAGAGAGAGAGCAATAAGAGAATAAGTATCAGACTAACCTGGGAAAAAAGCACTCGGAGCAACAAAATCAAATCTAGGAGAAGGGGAAGATATACTTCAGCATTTCTGTTTCAAATTATAGCCAACCAAACCCCACCAGAGAAGAAATACTACCTGAGGGCATCCAGAATAATGATGACCAATCGGTCCACAGCAGGTTTGCTCCAACAATGCTGGTCCTGTTTCGCATTTTCCAAATGACCACTACTATGATTATCAACATTGGCATCAGGAGAAGATAAGCAAGGAGATACGGAGATATCAGAGCAGTTGCTGTAGTAGGGAAGCTCGGTTCGAGTTAGCAAGAACCCTTTGGTGAACATGAGTATAGCTAAGCCATGAAGTAATAATATCCCCCAAGGACACCACTTTTTCCACCTTGCTTCCATCTCAGTTTCTCCACTAGCAAGAAACAGTAACTAGAACTATCCTGCAAGCAACCTGCCAAGGATGAGAAACACAGCCTCCCCTAGCACACAATCCACCAAATTGCACAAAAAGCACAAAGCTTCCTATTTTCAAACAGAACCAGAAAAAATTTGAGGGCAAGAAATCTGAAGATATCTACCTAATCACCAAATGTAGGCTAAAAAAACAAAGCTTCTGCCTCCAATTGCTCACTCTTCAGCAGACCAAGCTTAACAAACTAAGTCCCAGATCACCAATACAGCTAGAAAAGGAAAACAGTTAAAACAATCAGGTTTCACAATGACAGTCAATTGATCTAACGAAACGAACAGATAACAAGAAAATGGAGAAGCAACATGGTTACTGTTCATACCTGGTGTCTACTTCTCCTTAATCGACCGGCGAGCGCCAGAAATCCGAGGGCGGCGGAGGGAATGACGAGCCGTCGCGGCAGCCGTTGAATGACTAGTCGGAGGGCGACCAGTATTGAAAACTGAAAAAGGAGCTACCTTTTCAGTGTTAGAGCATTGAGAAATTGGAGACTGTGGGGAGAAGGAACGTTGAAGGTTAGGGATTTGATGGGTTGCTTCAAAAAATGAGTAAAAGGAAGAGAACTGATGAGTACTTCCCCAAACCCAATTTTCGCGCGACTTTCTGCTAGCAGACCTTTTTACTTTTTTTTTTTTTTACAGTCATTTGTTTATTAATTTATTACACAAAAAATTGCAATTAGATAATAATTAAGTAATCAATAAATGAAGTAATAATTAGCAAGGATCTTAGAAGGAAAGCTGCGAGCTTGTTCGAGTAGGAAATAGACTGAGCAAGAGCAAAAATGGTGGAGATCAAGGCGGTGGGAGTGGTGGGTAGCGGCCAAATGGGCTCTGGCATCGCTCAACTCGCCGCCGTCCATGGCCTCAAGGTATGGCTCCTCGACAGCGATCCCGAAGCTCTGTCCAGAGCCAAAACCTTCATCGCCGGCAACGTTCGCCGCATGATCTCCAAAGGCCATATCTCTCAGGTAAATCTGGACTGCTTGAAAATCGGTCTGTATTTGTAGAGATCATCTAGAGGAAGTTAGACAGCAGTAAATTCGCCCCACAAAATTTATCAGTTGACTTGAAATTCGAAACTGAAAAGCTCTCATATACTTGTGGTACTGAATGCTTGAAATTGAATTTTTTGTTCTTCGAGGTCGGATTGCTGTAATTTGAACTGGGTTCATAGCTTTTGTTGGCAAGGATGTCATGATCAATCTTTGGCACAATTGGTTCTAGATTGAAAGGGATGTTTTCAGCTAGTCTGACTGTTGGAATTTTGAAATGCTGTAGATTGGAGAGACCTGAGAGATTGTAGGTCTTGAATGAAAGAAACCAGGGGAAACCATGGAGACTGAATTTCTCAGTGTAAACAATCTTACGCACTGAAAATTGCTAAGGAAATGTTAATTTTCTTGTGTTGCTTAAATGCCTGATGTTCTCCTGACAGAATAATCTTCTGATATGAAACTTGGCCCAAATTTGCTGCAGAACTTCACTAACTGCAAATGATTCACCGCTCTTATCGACTATTTTCTATCCTTTGGCCCGTTCTTTCACTTGGTATTCGAAGAAGTGAACTTTCCTTTCAGATTTTTGATTGGTAACGGTATTGATTAGATCCGTCATTTTGACAGGCCAATGGTGACAATGCTCTCAGCCTTCTAAGCTACACAACAAATCTGGAAGACTTTCAGGATGCAGATATAGTTATCGAGGCCATCGTGGAATCCGAAGACGTGAAGAAGAACTTGTTCCGGCAACTGGACCGGATCGTCAAACCTTCTGGCATCTTGGCTTCAAACACGAGCTCCATATCCATCACTCGGATTGCATCTGCAACTAGCAGACCTCCCCAGGTAGATGCTCAAAAGTAGACTCTTCTGCTTCATACATGAAAAACAAAGTTATGCTTGGTAAATCGTGGCACGTCAACTTGTTTTGAGAAGTTTATTATCCATGGCAGGTGATTGGAATGCACTTTATGAACCCTCCTCCTATAATGAAGCTAGTTGAGATAGTGCGGGGGGCAGACACATCGGATGAGACGTTTCTTGCAACCAAGGCCTTGGCAGAAAGGTCAGTATCTGGACTCTTTGAAACAACTCGTAGCACGTAAACACATGTAAATTGCACCAGTGTTGCTGAGCATGAGAAGCTAGAGAAATCTTTGAACTTTTGTTTTTGTGCTAACTCAACCATTAAACTTTGAGGAATTTGGCAAGCCTAGTGGCATCAGCTACATGATCAATGTCTGAAACTTGTCTGTCAATGGTCAGATTCAAGAAGACAGTGATATGCTCCCAGGACTTTGCAGGCTTCATAGTGAACAGAATCCTGATGCCGATGATCAACGAAGCATTCCACACTCTCTACACAGGAGTGGCGACGAAGGAGGACATCGACGCAGGGATGAAGCTAGGGACGAACCATCCAATGGGCCCACTGGAGCTTGCTGACTTCATCGGACTAGACGTCTGCCTGTCGATCATGAAGGTTCTTCACGCCGGGTTAGGCGACACCAAGTACCTCCCTTGCCCTCTTCTCGTGCAGTACGTCGATGCAGGAAGGCTCGGTCGAAAGTGTGGGATCGGAGTCTACTACTATCGCGATGCTGCTAAACAAGCACAACCGTCTGCACGGCTTTGAACTGATCGAAGTCTGGCATGTTGGAGGGAAGAGAGAAGCGTTTCCTAAGTAAGAGACAATGATGGAGCTGCTTCTCCATCATCGTGTGAAGACTTGTTAGAAATCATAATGTAGGTCATTAATAAAGGGTAGCGTTTGCGTTAGAAAAGGTTTAGAATCCATCCCTGAACATGGGTGAGAGCCAAGACACTTGTTTATCGTCACTAGTTAGTAGTTACTCTTTTGCTTACGTTAGTAAAGTCTTGAGACAGATTTGGGATTTGCTCGTGCAACCAAAGCTCAAATTCTTCCTTTGGCAAATGTTAAATCGAATATTACCTTTGCCATCCAATTCTCATCTGTCACACCCACCTACCTATGGTCCAATGCCATTCACGTTTTCTTCCTTCCATGTTTTGCTTTTTTTTCTTTTTCCTTCAATTGCTGGGGCCGCTGCTTCACATGCAGGAGGGCCCAACACCTTTTTCAGTGTTGGAGCATTGAAGAAATTGGAGCTTTAGACTGTGGAGAGAATGGAACGTTGAAGGTTAGGGGTTTGGTCTCTGCTGGGTTGCTTTGAGAGAATGAGTAAAATGAAGAGAACTACTGATTAGTGTTTCTACCTCAGTTAGAAACACTGATGTGGGTCTTCTTGTCCAGTTAGAAAGAAAGCTAGAAGCTTTTTCGAGTAGGGAATCGACTGAGCGAGAGCAAAACAATGGCGGAGATCAAGGTGGTTGGAGTAGTGGGTTGCGGCCAAATGGGCACAGGCATTGCTCAACTCGCCGCCGTCCATGGCCTCAACGTATGGCTACACGGTAGGAATCCCGAAGCTCTGTCCAGGGCCAAAACCTTCATCTCCGGCAACGTTCGCCGCATGATCTCCAAAGGCCGTATCTCTCAGGTAAAAAACTAACCTGCTTGGAAAATCACAGTGCATTTTATAGAGTTCATCTACAGGAAGTTAGACAGCAGTAATTGCCACCCACAGAATTTGTCAGTTGACTTGCAATTTGAAAATGAAAAGCTCGTTTTTTCATATGAACTTTGAAATGCTGTAAATTGGAGAGACCTTAGAGAATGGTAGGGTTTGAATGTGAGAGACCAGTGAAACCATGGAGACTGGATTTCTCTGTGTAAACAATCTTATGCATTGGACTGTCATTTCTCTGTGTTGTATCATTTGTATTAAGGGGTGAAGTTCAAATTCTAATTTGAAGGTTGTTGGAAATTGCTAAGGAAATGTTCATTTTCTTGTGTTGCTTTGAATGCCTGATGTTCTGGAGATAGAATACTCTTCTATTGTGAAACTTGGCCTAAATTTGCTGCACTTTCACTTGGTACTTGAAGAAGTGAATTTTTTTATTGGTAATCGTCGTGATTAGATCCGTCATTTTTTGGCAGGCAAAAGGTGACAATGCTCTCAGCCTTCTAAGCTACACCACGAATCTGGAAGACTTTCAGGGTGCGGATATAGTTATCGAGGCCATCATGGAATCAGAAGTCGCGAAGAAGAACTTGCTCCAGCAACTGGACCGGATCATCAAACCTTCTGGCATCTTGGCTTCAAACACGAGCGCCATCTCCATCACTCGGCTTGCATCTGCAACTAGCAGACCTCGCCAGGTAAATATGCTCAGTAGTATACTCTTCTGCTTCATACATGAAAGTCAAAGTTATGCTTTGTAAATCTGTGGCATATCAACATGTTTTGAGAAGTGTATTATCCATGGCAAGGTGATTGGAATGCATTTTGCGTATCCTCCTCCTGTAATGAAGATGGTTGAGATAGTGCGGGGAGCAGACACATCGGATGAGACACTTCTTGCAACCAAGGCCTTGGCAGAAAGGTCAGTATTTGGACTCTTTGAAACAACTCCTAGCATGTAGCCATATGTAAATTGCACCAGTATTACTGAACATGAGAAACTAGAGAAGTTCGGTTTTCGTGCTAACTCAACCATTAAACTTTGAGGAATTTGGCAAGTCTAGTGGCATCAGCCATCGGTGCTGTTTAAGTCCACTTTCTCAGCTACATGATCAATGTCTGAAACATGTCTTTCAATGGTCAGATTCAAGAAGACAGTGATCTGCTCCCAGGACTTTGCAGGCTTCATAGTGAACAGAATCCTGATGCCAATGATCAACGAAGCATTCCACGCTCTCTACACAGGAGTGGCGACGAAGGAGGACATCGACGCAGGGATGAAGCTAGGGACGAACCATCCAATGGGCCCACTGGAGCTCGCTGACTTCATCGGACTAGACGTCTGCCTGTCAGTCATGAAGATTCTTCACGCCGGGTTAGGTGACACCAAATACCTACCTTGCCCTCTTCTCATACAATACATTGACGCAGGAAGGCTCGGTCGAAAGCATGGGATCGGAGTCTACGACTATCGCGATGCAGCTAAACAAGCACAACCATCTGCACGGCTGTGAACTGAAATCTGAACTGCTTCGTCATCGTGTGAACTGTGAAGACTTGTTAGTACTTAGAAGTGATAAAGTGAGCCACTAATAAAGGGTAGTGTTTGCGCTAGAAAGGTTTAGAATTCATCCCTGAACATGGGTGAGAACCAGAACACTTGTTAGTTGTTACTAGTTACTCTTAACCTATATTGCTAATCATCAAATTTCAAATTTTAATTGTCGATGTTTGTTTAAGATGTTGATATAGTCTATAAAATTAATTTGCATATTTTTATTTGTTATTGTAATGGGAATTATATAATTGTCATTAGGATAGCATGGGTAAGTAAAATGTGACCTTTCATGCAAGGTAATTGCTTCATCTTTATTTCCAGAGAATCATTAACAAGACAAACCTGGGGAAAGGAGTTAAAGACTAGACAGAGACTTCCTTAAACCTTCAGAATTGGGATTCCATAATAAGAGAATGTGAACTCCTTGGATTGCAAGTGAATTAACACGAGATAACTCTCAAATTATATCTACTACTCAGTTGCAACAGTACTCCAAGAAAACAGAAGAGCCTTTCTTATTTTCCAAGCAAAAACAGAGTTGAGGTATTCGTCACAATCTTAAACCAACATTGCAGCAGAGTCTCCTCGCCATCAGGTTGCAACAACATTGAAGCAGCAGAAGAAACAAGGGGGCCGTGAGAGCCTCAGATGAAGTTCCGGATGTCCAAAGATTTCACATCTGGCACTTCCTCGTCCTTGAATTCCTCCCTGTGACAAAGATCAGATTACAGAGATTGTTACAACGAAGTAGAGAGGTTAGGCTTTATCATGTCCACGTGCTATTCTCATAAATACCTTTTCTTTTGGGTGTCCATGGCCTCTTCAGCCTCCTTCTTCAGTTCCTCTAATTGTGCCTTGGCAATTTTGAGTTCCAACTGTTCTTCATACTTTGGTAGGTCTTCCCTCCTAACTCCAAGCCTGATTATGAATATCACAGGATATGAGAACGGTCTATCTTAATCTTCCTTCAGATTCCAAACCGAACACACAACCGTGCAGCGAATTCGCTAAAGTTGAATGAAAATCCTAATTACCACACAGCTAGCAATCTGGGTGACCAAAAACAGGGTGTTGCAGTGAAATTTCATAGCCATACGAGAAAAAAATTAGATAGCATTATAATATCATATCAAAAAGACCATCAAATTGGCGAAAACGGTGAAAAGCATCATGTGACCCATAGAACAGGTGCACTTAAACAGATTAGTTCAGTTTTCTCTTTCACATCTCAAGAACTCTGTTTTATTCTATACAGTTAATGATATTCAACTACAATATAGCTCGGCAAATTTTCTCCAACTGAATTTAAGGGGGAAAATATGACAGTAAGCATGACTGGGAAGCCACAAAAAAGCAGAGAATAAAAAAGTTTGAGACTTACTTCTGATTGATCTTGTCAAACTCAGCCATGAGACTAGCCATTCCTTTCTTATCATTCCTCATGAGAGGTTTCTTGAGTTCTTTCTCAATTTTTTCCAAGGCATCCATCATCATAGCTTCAGCACCGAGCTCGTCCTTGAGACCCTGCCTGAACAAAGAAGGATATTAGCAAAGATGCAAATTAACAAAAGCCCATTGCATGCAAGATGAAGATATCTGAAATCTACTAGGAAAAATGGCAAGGTATACAAAGATCACAATGAAATATGAAAGAAGTGAAAAGGCAATGGTTGATCAACAGAGCAACTGCGGATCACTCTAGCCAAGCTTTTAGATAACAAAGCTTAAGAACATAATGGAAGGAGCTGGAAACTGTAACAAAAAATAAATTGAAAGGATTGAAGAGTGCATCAACACGACAATGGTGAAGAAAGGAGAAAATATAGCAAATGACATTTTAAAACTACATAGATGAAAGGTTAATGGGTCCATACTTAATTCTCATGTCCTGCAATTTCAACAAGTAACCACGAGCATCTGGGATATCCTTTGTCTCTGACTCAATGGCATTCTTGATAGTTTGAGATTCAGTCCACAAATCAGTCCTGCAAGAGAACAAGTATCAACAGATGAAATATGAATATAGACAGTGCTGATATAAGGTACCTGAAACAGGAAAACCAAAGCTTACTTCTCTCTGATGGTCTTCATAACCTTCGCATATTGAGAAACAGCAGCTGGATCTTCAGGTGCAATGGTTATCTTCTCCTTCCGAAGAATTCCCATTGCAGTCTCAAACTTTTTCTTCACATCCAGAAAGATGTTCTTCAGCATCACTTTCCGATAAAAGGAATACATAAAAATTCTATGTCAAAACAAGTACTGAGAAGATAAAATAAAACATGGTAAATATACACCAATTGTCAGCACCTATAGCTCCCATTTTCAGCAACATACACTAAGAATTTGTCTATAATCTCTCATATAGGTGAAGGATAATGCAAAGAACAGAATAGAACAACATATTCGGAGTGCTACCAGATCTAGCCATTCCCTGGATGAATTAATCATATGAGTTACGCCTAAGTAAGTTATGCAGTTCTTGACTGCCTAGCCTATTTTGTACAAAATAGGTTCCTATCTCAGGGAATGGCTCGCAACCGCAATAGCAACTCGGCAGAAGGGAATCATAATCTGAATTTCCACACATTGGCCATAGTTCCATCCAAAAAGTAAAGCTTTGAACTTTGACTATTCTAGAAAACAGCTTAAGACAATGGTGCTAGCACTTTGTACTAGTTTGTAGATTGATTCAGGTGGCTCTACAAAGACTGGTAAAATCTCAGCAAAGAAATACCACTATGACAAGCATACTAACCATCTCCCTTCAGTTCCGGCTCAGACTTAGCCGAAAAGTAACGAGCTGGAATGGCAGACTCATGCAGAACAACCTGACTAGCATAGAGCTGCATATTTCCAAAATCAAGAAAGAAAGAAATCAGCAATAAAGTACAACCAATAGTCAGCGAATGTGGGGAAAAAATAGAATGAAAGAAGAAGAAAAAGTACCCAGAACTGCGGTATACATCCAGACAAAATGCCTCAATACCATCATAGAGAGACACAATCTCGCATTCATGCCCATTGTGTTTAATCACAAATCTTAAACTTCCAGCACTATCCCATTATTCATTTCCCCCAAAAATCAAGGACAAGTCACTAACTTTCATCGCCAATCGGGTTCATACACTCTCAATTATACGATCCCAACTAAATTCCTGGAGACCCTAATATACGACCAAAACGGCAAAACCTACGAATCGATACGAACCGGCCAACCAGAGCAATCCTCCAACGATCAGCCGAAACGCCGCAAATGCCCGGCTAATCGTAGAACTCGAAGGAAAGAAAACCCCCCCACCCGACGATTTCGAAGACCAGGAAACAAAGGGTAAATTGATCGTAGCCAAATGATTATCAGATAACATCCGGGGTTCGAAACGCGCGAAGTGAAGAAGGCGAAGAGGAAATTTACCTGTCTGGATCTGGACAAGAGACGGGAAGCCATTGGTGACTAGGGCAGAGCTCAGTTTCTTTCTTCTTCTGCTTCCGAGAAGGGATTTTTAGCTGCGAGGGGGAGGTGCTAATCTGAGCTTCGGTCTCTGCTTTTGTATATTGAACGAAGAAAAGGTAATGTTCTGTACTGTTTCCTCTTAGGTTTGCGTTTTATTCTGCGCCGTTGGATTTCCCGGGTCATCCATGATCATTCATACCCGCCCCCGTGATTTTAATCGACGGTCAGTATTCTCCTGCGATTTGTTTTACTTTTTAGGGCTAGGAATGGCAGGTCCGGGGCGGGTTTCACGATACCCATACCCGTTTCGTGGCAGGTCGGGTTCAGGCTGGGTAATTTATCGTGGGTCACGGATCAGGGCAGGACGATCCAGTGGGTATGCAATTTATATAGAAAACATTGAAAATATTCACTAATTTCATTATAAGACCAAGAAAACAAACCATATTATGATAAATGTAATTAAATTATTGGAGAAATTGAGGTTTTCACTTATTTACAACTTAATATAGCTAAAATATGATGTAATAAAAGGAAAATTCTAAGTAATTTGACTAAGATTACATGTAATTTTAGCAAAAACGGGTCGAGAATGGGGTCGGTCGGGTCGATGAGGAAACCCATGCCCGCCTCGCCCCACCTACAGGGCGGGTCGGACCCCCCCCCCCCCCCTCCCCCCCAAACAGACCAAACGGGTCCGGTAAAACAGGTCAGATCGAAATTGACATCTCTACTCCTAAGTTGATTATAGTTAAATACATGTATTGTGTTGACTGATGAATTTGATTCATTGTAAAATACAATATTTGATATTGTGTGATCATGTATGTCACGTAAACTAAAGTCGAGATATAACACTATTCACTCAACTATCTTTATCAAAAGTTGAGATATAACAATAACTGAGTTTGAATGATAGTTTGTGTCACATCAGAATTAGCGATTTTTAAGTGAACTTCATCAATCATAACCTCATCCCCAACACAAACTAGCATATTGGTGAAAAGTTCTACCACAGAACAACGGTTCTACGGCATACACGATGTAACAACAACTTATACAATTTTACTACACTTCATGCAATTATATTATGATTCAACTCAACAGTAAGAAAAAAAAAATCAAATGACTTATATAATCGAAGAGCAACATCTTTTGAGACTTACATACTTTCATAACGTGACAGTTTATGAACACTTATCGATGAACGTATGTGCATCACCTGCGAAAAGTGACTGACGCAGAATATAATTTTCTAGTTTCGAATATGATTATGCTCACTAGAACACACACAAAACAATTCTGGGCTCTTGGATTATAATGTCACACTAACACGACATTGAGAAAAATCCATCAAGAACACACTTGAATTGGGATCATAATGTACAATTCGTCCAAAAAAGATTATCCCCTTTCCCTATTCGATTTTACAGATCACACAGCAAACAGGTTACAACAATGGAAGAACACAAAAACAAAAAAGACCCTTTTAATTTAACCATAGTTAAACTCATCTATGTCATTGAAGAAATCCTGAAAAATGGTCATGTCGCTCATCAGATCGGCCAAATCCGGGATCGGCCCGGGGATGTCGAAATCCGCCAGGCACTGGAAAACCAGGACGCCACCGATGTTCGGATCTCCCCGGCCGTCATCGTCGAACGGCCGATAGAAGCCGGCGGAGGAGGAAGAAGACGAGCACGGGGTCTGGGTCGGGGTCGATTTCCCGACGGGGCTTCCGGCGAGGGCGTCGGAGGCGCTCCTGGCCCGCTTGTTGTGCCATCGCGGTATGATCAGGCGCCGCCGGCCTCCCTTCTGCGGCGGCGGCGGCCGACGGCGAACGGCTGATCCCTCCTCGTCCCCCGCCCTGGAAATCGCGGCGGATTTCGACGACGATCGACGCTTCTTGCCGATGACTGCGTTGATCCCGGCGGGATCGTCGGGCTTGGGATGCTTCCGCGGCCGCCCTCGACCGCGACGTGGGGCGACGATCGGATTCTCGATCATTGGCGGATCTGGGTCCGGCGGAATTGTATTGATCCGGCGAAGATTCGGATTTTGTTTGTTTTATAAAAAAAAAGGGGAATTCCTTTTGTTTCTTTTCGTTTTAGGGTTTATGGTGAAATTATTTTAATGTTACAGATTTGAAAGGGTTGAAATTGGGGTTAGAGTATGTTTATTTGAGAAGGGAAAATTTTGATTTATTGTGTTTGCTTTTTAGATTGGATATTATGTAGTAATCTACCAAGTTTAGGATTCTATTTACAACGATTAGTTGGATTAATTCCAGCTGTGATGGCAATCCACTCGAGACACAAATAAGGTATGGTTTTTAAACGTGTTGATTACGTTGGAGAGCGCGTAATAAATTGTCACAAACTTTTGTGTAATGTGGAATTTGAGCGTACGTGGCACTTCTGATAAATACGATGAATTGAAAGTAGAGTAATTTTACATGATGATAATGTGTTCCTGTCCACAAGGTTTGTGTAAGATTGATAATGTGCTCATGTGGTTATGTCAAAAAGGTAATTTTCCGAGTATTGCGGATTAAGATTAACTACACGTTAAAAGATACAAATTTTGTTTTTTTTTTTTCTCTTCCCATAAATGAATAATGAGGGCAAACGATAAATGGTTAACATAGATCGTTCTATAAATGTTTCCGAGCAATGATTCGTGATGCTGAAGCTAAATGGTTAAAAGTAGGTCGTTCTATATTTGTTAAAAGAACCTTGCTCACCATCAAATGACGACATAGTTAACATAAATGTGGATGTCACAATCACATAAGCACCAAGTAGGAAGCATAGCATAATTAAAGTGACAAGGACATATAACATAGACGTCTATCGTAATCTACTCGAACATGATCATTAAAGTTGAGAAATCAATACTCGATGAATCCACGGAGAGGCAAGAGACAGCATGAAGAACGGAAACATCTTAGTAACCAAAAGAAAAGAAAGCAAAATGATTCCTATCAAGTTTTTTTTCTTATCACACCTTTTTCAGAACACATTTCAACATCAAGTTTTTTTTCTTATCACACCTTTTTCAGAACACATTTCAACATCTTAAGACTTATGATTGTTGATCTCATATTTAACTCGAGATGATTAGATTTTACATACCACAGTTTTGTCAAATTGTTCATACCCCATATACATCAATAGTCTCAAACTTTAAAGTTTCGGGTCCAGAAAAACATATGGAAGTGACAAAGTAATTCCATGTGTTCTTTTTTTACAGGCATCACTTGTTTGACAAGAGTACAAGCTTCAAACAACACAGTGAGGCCACTGACATACACCATTTGCAAGAAAGACAATTACTTTTACAGCTAGAGAGCTACAGCTAACATTTGTCTACACAGTAAATATTCAACTTTGTGAATCACAATGAACCTTCTGCAGCTTCATCAGATCTACGCTGCAAAAGATTTACCACAGCCACACGTCTGCGTCGCATTAGGGTTCTTGAAAGAGAAGCCACCCCCGATGAGAGCGTCACTGTAATCCAACTGCATCCCGAATATGAATAGGAGGCTCTTTGGATCGCAAACTGCACCAAACACACCAAGAAAAGGAAATAGATTAGCTCAGGATGCCAGTTCTGGAATTTCATGCTACATTTAAGAAGAGTGGACACCAAGTAACCAATGCAACACCAGCTCTAGGTCAGCAACTACAAGTTAGCATCTATACATGGTCCAACGCCTTGCAACAAGCCATTACATAGGAATTTGATGGCCCTGAAATGGAACTGATTGCCCCTGAAGTTGAACTCATCATAAATGCAACGGTGAAGCAATCACGAATTCATGGTATACAAGAGCAGGAGAGAGGAGAGACAGACATGCTGTTTCATGTGATTTGGTGCCACACTGATACGTGATAACTAAGGAGTTGGCAGTGTCTTTTGCTTTCATTGCAAATCTAACTTGCAGCTAGCCTCTTAAGTCTCAACAAACAATAGGGTTTGACAAAAGTACTATGTACAAGGAAACATATGTCTATGCACAAAAATGGTTTTATATCTCTACCATCCATTTATTCAAGCAAGTTTATTGACAAGAAAATCAGTAACCGACTTCTACATCTCGGTCCAAAGTTTAAACTTTTACCAATGCAAACGACCCCAAAGGTTTGGCCTAGCACAGTAATCTGAGGCTATCATATACCCAGCAAACAAACGGCGTCATAACCATATCTATTCTAAAGAAAGGAAGCAGACAATATGTGAATCAAACCAACACATAAAAGGAGCCCTATCATATATATTATCTACACCCCTTCATCTTTCAGCGATTCCGGAAAGTCCAGAGCTCGAAAAGAAACACTCCAAAATATCTCAGCTAGCTTAAGATTTGAGCAGCGAAGTTCATTCACACACTGAAAGGACAACCAAAGAGTGATCTTGGAAGATCAAACCCTAGCTAGCAATGGCAGACTAACACCTCCAAATTCTCCCCCAATTCAGTTACTAAAGCAAACTACAAGACGCAATAGAGAGAATCTAAAAAGTTACATTACCGATAACGAAGCCGTCGTATTCCATCACGGAATCGTCGGGTCTAGCGTTGCCCCGATTCTCAAACTCCATCGTGTAAGACATCCCCGAGCACCCGCCTTGCTTCACTCCGATTCTCAAGCACAAATCCTCATTTCGGTCGCTCCTCATTCGATTCAGGTGCTTCAACGCACCCTCCGTCACCGACACCGCCGGAGCCACTCCCCCGGGAGACGGCGGAGCGACTGCTGCGAGAAAAAAAGGGGGCAAAATACAATATATATGTTCAGAAACGAAATTCCACCATCCTTTTCAAATCTCGTTAAATCGGGGAGAGAAAGGAGGGATTGGAGGAGTAACCAGGGACGGAAGATGATCTGACGGAGAGAAACGATCGACGGGAGAGATTGGGCGCGGTGGAGAATCTGAAGGAGACTGAACTCGGAGGCGAAGAGAAGGCCGCCGGTGAGCGATTGGGAAGACGGAGGATCGATGGAGGGGACTGGCGTGCTGTGGTTGTTGAAGGAGAGAAAGCCGCCGTCGCCATGGCCGAGAAACGATTGAGAGCCTTGCAGAGGTTTTCTTCCAATTTGCTTCCGCGTTTACAAGTCGCCTATTATTTTGGTTTCTTGCGGAAATAAAGGAGTTTTTGTGATTCATAAATTATAACCAGAATAAATTATTTGTATTAAATTTCATTTAAGAAAATATAAAAATGTTGTGGGCCGGTCTTAAGACACTAGTTAATATGGGCTTCATATCGGGCTTAAAACACTTGTCCATCAGTGGGTTAGGCTTCCTCCCGGTGGGCTAGGTTAGAGTTGTTCATAACTTGAATTTTTTTTTTTTTGCATTTTTTTATTCATAACTTCAATCAATTAGTGGTCATTTGGAAAATTGGATTGAATCTTTATATTGTAAACAATCAAATATTTTAATTCTTGGATTGTTAAAAAAAATTAAAATGTTTGATAGTTGTGATTGTTGATTCTATGAATCCATTCTTCAAATCTGGTTGGAAACGGCTCCTTAATAGAGTGAATTGAATATCTTCACGTCTAGATAAAACTTAATAGTTGAGTGAATAAAAAACATGCAAGTTATACACTAATAGAATGAGTTAAATTGGAAAGGGATGTGCGCTTAACAAATAGTGGTCCTCGAAATTCAAACACAAAGGGGTTTAAAGATGCAATCACGATCCCCGGCGATCTCGTTTCCACGATGAAAAGATACACGATGGAGGTCAACTTATCTAGGTAGACAAGTCGGCTATTTCAAAATCCTAAAACACATGATAACAATAGAAGTGATTGGAAAGAGAAGAAATGAAGATGTGAACAGTTTGAAAGAGATTATTGAATGCAGAGCCTCGCTGGAGCCTAATCAACAAGGTCCTTTTCTGTTCAAACAATTACAAACAGAGGGCTCACATGTCCTCTTCCTCTTTGTTTCACCTTATCACTACTTTGTTTCTGTCGGCAAAGGAGGTGCAAAAACTGAATTTTACTCCTATTTCTTTATATGTATCACGAAAAAGCGCCCCACGCATTTGGGTTTATAATTGCACCGATTATCTTACACGTTAGATTTTTATTTTGAGTTTACTACAGTGTATGGTTACACATTTGTTCTACATGACCTATTTAATACTCCTTTCTTGCTTTCAAATTTATCATCCAAATGGGCATTATGCATTTAGTTTCAGATTTGTTGTCCAAGTGTGCATAAGTATTTCCCCCCTTTTTTGGATGCAATGCGTAACATGTTCTAATTACACCATGTGTGTTGATTTGTTGAACACAAAACATCGAAGTTGTTTTGCCTCGAGACAAGTCAACGTTAGGATGACTCGAATACAAGACATATTGCAATTTGCAACAATGAAGACTTGGTATTGAGATGGTGTATTGTTATTGTTGCAAATTGAGAATGTTAAATGGATTATTAATACCATAAAATTTATTAGGACTCAAACATTTTAAAAGATATTATGATAAAGATATGTTTGTTTCAATAACTCAAACTATTGAAAGAGTTCGAAAGACATGAAAATGTTTAAAATTCAACATTAACACTAAACCATTGGTATCTACATCATTACACCTAGGCTTCCACATCATCATTATTATTCAACTGCACCTTATTCAAATGCAAGAGAAGTAGTGGTAGAAGGAGGGAGAAGAGAAAGATACCCATTTGGAGATAAAAACATAAGATGATAAGAAGAATCAAGAGCTTGGAGTTGGAATTGGGGAGGACAGGAAAAGAAGCAATAAATGGAATACCCACTTTGAAAAAGACTCTTCCCTTTTAATTAATTGTTCTTCTCTCTATTGTATAAACCCAAACATTATATTCTCCCATCCTCTCTCTCCATCTTCTTAGCTTCTCCTATTCCTTTCTTGTCTTTCTATACACAGAGCTTTTTCTTCTGCAGCTCTCTTGTGGAAAATTTCCATTCCATGAACATCATTGATCATACCACAACACAAGCCACAAACTTCTGTTGTCTTCCTAGTTAGTCCCTTAAGTTATACAAACTCTCTTTTCCATCCCAAATTGAGTTGGTGTCTATTCTGTTCCCAGCCAATTTAATGGAAGTTTCCAGCAGAAGGAGGGCTCTGCTCAAAGTCATCGTCCTTGGGGATAGTGGGTATGTCTCTGTTTTGAATTTACTCCATATCTATATTCAACTGTTCTTCATCTCTGGTTTTGACATTCACCAATAATCCAACTTGAAACTAAAAGAAAGTTTGAACCTTTCCATATGGGTTTGCATTCTTCTGTAGATTTGATTGATGGGTTTGGTTTCTTTCTTTGTGATTGTTTCTTGTTTTAGGGTGGGGAAGACATCCTTAATGAATCGGTATCCACTCGTAATTATTTATCGTAATACCATATGCTTCGGTTAATTATATTAACATAAGAAAATACATATGGGAACTTTTAATTTATTGGGGGTAGATTAGCTTTCTGAGAGATATATATATATATAAATTTGATCACCTTAGTTATATGCTATATCATGTTTTCATCTTGTCTTGTACCATTCAAAATGGGGCATTGTTATGTCTGGAGAAAATTAGGCACATTATTGGGCCATCTGGCTCCAATTATTTTTCCTCATATGCTGCTGGCTGGTGATGGATCACATTCACATGGCTTCTATGAGTTGTCATAAGCTTAAGGTGTTTGCTTGTATTTATCCATTATGTGTCTAGTTGGTGCCTTAGAAATTAATGCTTCAAAGTTCAAAGTCAATGAAACTAGTTATGAGATTCCAAATCCTAACTTTCTCCCTAAAACTTACCTTAAGTCGCATGACCTCTTCGATATCTTCAACCAGTATAGTGTCGTACGAAGAAGTGAATGAATGTTACGTGTTCCTTTACAAACCAACTAAGATATGTGTACAAGAAGTTCAACCAACAATACAAAGCGACAATCGGTGCTGATTTTGTGACGAAAGAGCTTCAAGTAGATGACAAAGATGTCACTTTACAAGTGAGTAACATTCCTATAAAAATATTTTTCATCTCGCGAGTACACTTTTTTTTTTGTGTAACCCGAATTAGCTCTGGATGTAAAGATATGGGACACAGCTGGGCAAGAGAGGTTTCAGAGCCTTGGATCGGCGTTTTACAGAGGATCGGATTGTTGTGTTCTTGTGTACGACGTTAATGTGCTTAAATCGTTCGAAACACTGACTAACTGGCATGATGAGTTCTTGAAACAGGTAGGTTTTGGTGTTATGTTTGTTTAGCTCTAATCTAGCATGGTGATGGATTGGTGGGTTGGGTTTATTTTGATCTAAGTGATTTATATTGCATGTATTATTCTCAGGTAGATCCAGTACATCCAGATGTATTCCCTTTTGTGTTACTCGGGAATAAGATTGACATTGATGGTGGAAACAGCAGAGTGGTGAGTATATATATATATATAGCTTGGAAATTAAGCACACAAATAGAAGATTCATTTGCCCCTTTTTTGTGCACAGTTACATAAATGGTCATTGAAGTTTGGTGTCCTTTAACAATTGGTCACAAACATTTATTTTTTGTAACATCATGATGTGAAAACAATTACAGGTTTCAGAAAAGAAAGCAAGAGAATGGTGCAGTAGTAAGGGAGACATTCCATACTTCGAGACATCAGCCAAAGAGGATTACTATGTAGATGATGCCTTCCAATCCGTAGCCAAAGTTGCCCTTCAAACCGACCACCAACACGACATGTAAGCAACTTTAATTCGAGAATAGATACTATACAAAATACCGAAATTGGTGCAAATATAAATTTGAAACATTTGATCCTGCTTGAATTAAGGATTTAGTGTAATGTTGGCTCATGGTATGTCTCACTAATTCTTACATTAAATGCAATAGAGAAGTTGAGTGTTGTATTAGATCAGCAAAGAAAAATTCTCGACTCGAAAAATTAGTTTCAACAATGAGAAAACTCAACAAGAAGTATATTGTATTTCTATTTTTCTTTTGCATGCTTAATTAATCATATATCTCTAAATGACCAATTTACTTGAGTTTTGAACTTTAGATGGGTTTCACATTTATTGCCCTAATTGCTCACATATCACAATGGTTGCTAATTAAATTTTTGTCGATGGGCAGTTACTACCAAGACATATCAGAAGCTGTTTCCGAAGTTGATCAAAGAGGGAGTTGTGCATGTTGAAGAGTAGCAAAACAAAGACTGTCTCGCATCTATAACGTTCGACAAATATATGAGCATCTAAAATTAGATGAAAGCATGATTCAAACTACGTGAGTGTGAGATCAACCATTTGAGTCTCCTACGTACCAAATTTCATTTCTAGCGGTTATATGACTATTTGGAGCTAATTTTTTTCCCACTCTCTTTCTCTTCATTGATTCTATTCATCAGTGAGCCTATACCTCATTGGTGCCGTTGGGTATAATTTAGGTGTACATCAGAATTCATTTACTTATGGTAGCAAGAGATTACTCTTGTTATATGGTGGTGAAGTTTTGTGACTCAAATCTTCAAAAAATTTATAATTAACTATAAACACATTTGTATTATGCCGATTAACAAAATTTGTCACAAATTATGTCGAAGTTTTGCATCATTCGAGTATGGGTTCTAGAGAAGTTTTGCAGGTCCTGCAGAAATCAAACCAAAAGTGATCATTTTTTAGTAAGATCAAGTTTCAAACTGAAAAAAAAGATTTTTTTTCCAATCCGATTTTATATAAATATTGATTTGGTAATTATTTCGTCCAGCTTTGCCCACCCCTACTTGTGGACATCCACTCCCGGGCTTTCAGACTCGTTGGGCTCACAGTAAAGTATCACAAATTCCAGTGGACAAAGTAATGTAATCTCAAAGCCCAATCTCATTACTCCATACGAAAGAAAGCCCACATCAATTCAACTTCAATGATGGACTATTCTCTCCACCATCCCGCTCTAGGAAGACCATAGAACTAGGGCTGGCTATTTGGTCCCGAATTATTTGGTTTTACTCGAAATCGGACCGTATAACTCGGACCGAGATCGGATAGTAAACAATGCAATCTCATATTCGGGTTTAGATTTGAGGTAAAAACCCAGATAAAGACCAGATAAGAGACCCCCAACACCTAAAATCAAGATAAAATTGGGACCGGACCGGGTCAAGACCGGACCGAATCAAAACCGGACTGTATCCAATCCAATCTTTGGTCCTTATATTTCCGAAAAGACTGGACTGGGACCGGATCAATTTGGTCCAATACTCCAATTTAACCGGACCGAACCGTATAGCCACCCCTACATAGAACCTTTCAAATTCAAGTTTCAGCTCATAGCAATGCATATTATTCAAATTGGCAAGATAATCTATAATACAAAGTTATTTTCACTCATGATACATTTAAATGAACATCTTACTAACAAGACAACATATACCGAACAACAAACACGTAAAAGTAAGCGAGCTGTGCGTATTTTAATTACTGAATTAACGACAATACGACGACGAAAAAATCGATCTACATTGAACCTCATTCTCTCAAACCAATATTAAATCATATAAACCCCATTTCAATTCAACTCTCATGATGGACTATTCCTCTCCTAGTCCGGAAAAAATCCAAAAGTACCACTGTTTAAAAAAAAATTCCAAAAATACCACCCAAACCCAAAAAATTCCAAAAATACCACCCTTTTTCAAAAACCGCCACCCCACCCAGCGGTTTGGTCGAAAACCGCTTGTCGGGGGCGCGGTTTTGGACCAAACCGCGGGCCTAAGGGGCGGTTATAAAAAAAAAAAAAATTTGGACCAAAACCGCTGGGTGGGGCGGCGGTTTGGCCCAAAACCGCCACCCCAACCAGCGGTTTGGTCCAAAAGTTCGGTCGAAACTTCAAACGAACGTAACTTTGCACTCGGGTATCCGATCGTAGTGATTTTTTTTTTCATTTCGCATAACTTTTCAAGATCTACAACTTTTACTAGGATAAAATTTTCAAAAAAGGAACTATTTGTGGATATACGGGACCTTGAGAATAACTTTACCTTTACTTTTCAGAAATCCATGTACATTTTGAAATTATGATTATATTAAAAGTTGTAGATCTTGAAAAGTTATGCGGAATAAAAAAAAATTTCATAACATTCGGATTTTGGAGCACAAAGTTATGGCCGCCCAAAATTTGACGAAATAAAAAAAGGTCGTTCGGGGTGGCAAATGACGTTTTTTCCGAGACGAAGACGGAACCCGACTGTTTGAGACTTGCAAGATCTCAAAAAGTTATTCGGATTCAAAAAATGGAGGCCGCAAACTTTTTGAGATCTTGCAAGCCGCAAACCGCCGGGTCTCGCCTTTCGTCAAACTTTGGGCGGCCATAACTTTGTGCTCCAAACTCTGAATGTTATGAACTTTTTTTTGATTCCGCATAACTTTTCAAGATCTACAACTTTTAATATAATCATAATTTCAAAATATACATGGATTTCTGAAAAGTAAAGGTAAAGTTATTCTCAAGGTCCCGTATATCCACAAATAGTTCCTTTTTTGAAAATTTTATCCTAGTAAAAGTTGTAGATCTTGAAAAGTTATGCGAAATGAAAAAAAAAATCACTACGATCGGATACCCGAGTGCAAAGTTACGTTCGTTTGAAGTTTCGACCGAACTTTTGGACCAAACCGCTGGTTGGGGTGGCGGTTTTGGGCCAAACCGCCGCCCCACCCAGCGGTTTTGGTCCAAATTTTTTTTTTTTTTATAACCGCCCCCTAGGCCCGCGGTTTGGTCCAAAACCGCGCCCCGGACAAGCGGTTTTCGACCAAACCGCTGGGTTGGGTGGCGGTTTTTGAAAAAGGGTGGTATTTTTGGAATTTTTTGGGGTTGAGTGGTATTTTTGGAATTTTTTTTTTAAACAGTGGTACTTTTGGATTTTTTCCTCCTAGTCCTACCCATTATACACTCTCTCCACGAACAGGACCTTTCAAGTTTCAATTCCTAGCAATGCATATTATTCAAATTATATTAGAAAACGTGGAATTAATTAATACCTTTCCTTTCTTCCCAAGAAGAAGCTTCTCTTTGCTTTCCCACCGGGGTGAATCTAGAAAACTGGAGACTGAGACTGAGAGATAGAGAGTATCAATTTTCCTCCACGGCAATCAATCAAGGGAAATTGTTCATAGGTTCGTGGAACCTTCTTCCCTTTGCTATTGCTATCTCTCTAAGGCTACGAATCAGTTGTTCCCAGTAACTCTAGTTTGTTGAGAAATATTTAGTTATGGATTTTATACCATTTGCTAACACATCCCTCTCAAACGAAAGCCAGCTCATATGAGGGTGAAATTTGCACATCAAGCAACTTCGCGGTCCTCTCCTTTCAATCGAGCACGAGCAACTACCATGTGCTTAACAAATGAGAGTTGTCAGTGATTCGAACACAAGGCCTATCGACCAACGAAGACTCTGATACCATGTAAAGAACTAGTTAACTCGAATTGTTGGAAGATGTTTTAATCAATGATCTTTTACTGTTCACTTAACCCCCCCCCCCTCTCAAACGAGAGTCCACCAACTCTTATGGGCTTGAAACTTGCACGGGTCAAGATACCATGTGTTTAAGTACAAATGGAGGTCATCGCGATTCGAACACCGCTGTCGAAAACTCTAGTACCATACCAAGAACCAAAACCAATTTTTTTCAATAACTCGAGTTTTGGAAGATTTTAGAATTAAGGCAGTCTTGTCAATATGCATTAAATGATATCACTTGATCTCCAATGGCTAATGAAATCGGAACACCTTTTTCTTTTGACCAACCCATTAATGTAGGTTCTCTCCCACAACTTAATCCAATTAACTATCAGCTGCTTGGGTTTGTAGGTAATGATTGGATTATTACTAACTGTCAAAATTGGCCCACTAATTAACATTCCCGCACCATCGAGAGAGAGAGAGATCAGCTTCCTGGAATTTTACCATCTGGTTGAAAATGCACTACTTTCGATTGTAAAATTTAATCGATAAAAAAAAATATAAACACGTACTAACGCCTACTCCAAAGTTTGTTAGTCTTAAAAACCGGATTGAATTTATTGTCATGTCAGTATCAGTTCATGACCCATTTAAAGTGTGGTGTTGAGCGTAAAATGTTACTATCATTGAACATAACTGCAGCTGTTTGGGAAGTTGGTTGGCCGCTGCTTGGGAGGCTGTAGTCATACAAGAATTCTCTGCTGTTCAATTGAGAGCCACAATTCACCGATTAAGGAAAAGGGTGAGGAAAAAAATAGAAGCCAAAAAACGGATTGAAGTAGGAAGAAGCTTCCATGATGCAGCAGTGGCCAGTACTCAAAGTCAACATCGGTGAAAATTATGAAAGTCGAGCTGATGCGGTGGATGGTGAAATTTGCAATTACATGTGTTTACACACACACAAAAAAAAAACATGTAACTGATCGAATGCATTGTTTTTATTTTATTTACGAGAGACTATTGATGAATTATAGTTAAATTATAATTACACATATGATGATCTCGGTAGCGTTTTAATACTCAAGGTATGCGGTACCCCGGATTTCACAAGGCACCATATATATATCATGTACGGGGTGAGGACGCGTCGAATATACTCATGTCTGCCCTGTTCTAACTGCGAGTCAGGTCAAGAACCCCATTCCTCTTGGCTCTAGCGCGAGTAGGGTTTGATGGGTCGGGACGAGTCTGAACTGTCATCACTGCTGCTAGGCACAAACTTATGATGTGACATTATTACGATATCTGGGGAGGTCAACCATAGTGAAGTGAAAGAGGATTTGAGAGCCTCAACATTTTGGAGGGTGGAAGTTGGGAGGAAAGATCCTCCTATATGCACTGAGATTATGAATTAATTAGGACTCAAGTGAGTAATGATGGTACTTTGGAACAAAAATTTAGCTTAATAAAAACTTGTTTGTCAATTAGATTCGTTGGTGTTCTTTCTTTATAAAGATGATCAAATGCGTCGTTTTTGTACGAGATCATTGATGTATTTGAACGATGTGACATTGTTATGAATCTCATTTACTTTCGAAAGCAAGTCAACCATAGTGAAGTGAAATGAGGGCTAGTGAACCTCAACTTTTTGGAGGTGGAAGTTGGGAGGAAAGATCCTCTATGCACTGAGATTATGAATGAACAGGATTCAAGTGAATAATGATGGTACTTAAAACAGAGATTAGGTTAATAAAGAAAACAATTAAAAAATTGTTCGGCAACTGGATTCTTTGATGTTCTTAAATTAACTGTGCTACGTGGGGCTAACCTCATCAACATGACGTCACCTTTTGTCCACTCACGCGCGCCACGTGGCACCACAGCGGGAAGCTTCACTGCATCTCCCTCCCCACGAAACTGTCCATGAAGCTGCACCTCATTTTCAGCTAAAAACAAAACATAAAAGGTTTAATCATTTTTATAAATATCGCAGCCATAGCCAAACCTTCTTCTTTTATTTCGATCCAATAGTTTTTGTTTTTTTGTTTGAAAGAGTAAA